ACCACAAACACATGAGGGTGCATGTGAATTCTTTCCCCCAAAAAAACAAGGGAACAACTAGTGCAAGTCAAAATAGGGAATTGCGTCGGGAAATACAGTGTTTTCTTTTCAGAGACCTACTGTGTTACGTCAAGTACAGTGTTTACGTCCTTTCAGTATGTGAAGTACATTGTTTACATCATGTTTACATCGTCATATTACATAAAGTATTTTCTGTCTTTGTTGATGTGTAGTTTGTTATAAATTAGCGTCTTTCAAAAAATGAATATCTCGATATGACATATGATAAATGTTTACTTCTATGTTCTTAAATATTTGCATCAGTAATATTTACGCCTGCAAATCAGTGCCATATATTGTGATGCCAAGTGTATCGTGTGCTAAAGGTTGGTATTATCGTACATCAACATGTTGTCTTCTATATAGTATATAAGTGTATACTACCGAGTTACATCAGATATATATTCCATATCTGTTTAAGGTGCATTATTAATTTTTAGTGTAGCTTGAAGCATATTGTGTCATTCTTTAAAGAGGTGAACTACTATATTGTGTGAAACGTATTATAATGCGTCTTTCAGAAATAAACCAAATCAAGACTGTTGTGCTGTTGTTGGCAATGGTGCATTAATACACTGCATCCTTCATTATAGCAGCACATTGTTTTACTACATAAAGACTGTTGTGCTATTGTTGACAATGGTGCCTGAAATACACTGCATCCTTCATTATAGCAGCACATTGTTTTACTACATAAAGACTGTAGTGTTATTGTTGACAATGGTGCCTGAAATACACTGCATCCTTCATTATAGCAACACATTGTTTTACTACATAAAGATTGTAGTGTTATTGTTGATAATGGTGCATTAATACACTGCATCCTTCATTACAGCAGCACATTGTTTTTATACATCAATAATGAATGAATGAATGAATGAATGAATGAATGAATGAATGAATGAATGGTGCATAAAATACAATGAATCTCCCATTATAATAGCACATTGTTTTACTACATAAAGATTATATGTTATTGTTGACAATGGTGCATTAATACAATGCATCCATCATTATAATGGTTCATTGTTGTGTTACACCAAAACTACTGTGTCATTGTTGATAATGGTGCATGAAATACAATGCATCTCCCATTATAATGGCACACTGTTGTGTTTAATCATGATTGTGTTATCGTTGACAATGGTGCGTGAAATACAAACGGATCCTTCATTATAATCGTATATTGTTGTGTTATACCAAGACTGCTGTGTTATTGTTGATAATGGTGCATAAAATACAATGCATCTTTCAATATTATGGTATATGGCTGTGTTACACTAAGTCTGTTGTGTTATTGTTAAAATGGTGCATAAAATACAAAGGATCCTTCATTATTATGGTACATTGTTGTGTTACACCAAGACTGTTGTATTATTGTGCATAACATAGAATGCATCATTAATTCTAATAGTACATTGTTGTGTTCCTTCAATACTCATATGCTATTGATGGTAATGATGCATGAAATATAATTCATCCTTCATTATAATGGCACATTGTTGTGTTAAATCATGCCTGTTATTATTGTTGACAATGGTGCATGAAATACATTTTATCCTTCCTTTCAGTGGTACATTGTTGTGTTACATCAAGACTGTTGTGCTATTGTTGGGAATGGTGCATGAAATACAATGCATCTCCCATTATAATAGCACATAGTTTTCTGCAACAATACTATTGTGTTATAGTTGACAATGGTGCATGCAATACAACGGATAATTCATTATAATCGTACATTGTTGTGCTACACCAAGGCGGTTGTGTTATTGTTGATAATGGTGCATAAAATGCAATGTTTCCTTCATAATAATGATGCATTCTTGTTTTCCTTCAATATTCATGTGTTATTGATGGTAATGATGCATACAATACAATGTATCCTTAATTATAATGATACATTGTTGTGTTACACCATGACTGTTGTTATTGTTGATAATGATGCATAAACTACAATGCATCCTTCATTAAAATGGTACATTCTTGTGTTCCTTCAATACTCATGTGTTATTGATGGTAATGATGCATGAAATATAATTCATCCTTCATTATAATGGCACATTGTTGTGTTAAATCATGCCTGTTGTTATTGTTGACAATGGTGCATGAAATACATTGTATCCTTCCTTTCAATGGTAAATTGTTGTGTTACATCAAGACTGTTGTGCTATTGTTGGGAATGGTGCATGCAATACAACGGATAATTCATTATAATCGTACATTGTTATGCTACACAAAGACGGCTGTGTTATTGTTGATAATGGTGCATAAACTACAATGCATCCTTCATTATTATGGTATATGGTTGTATTACACTAAGTCTGTTGTGTAATGGTTACAATTGTGCATAAAATACAAAGGATCATTCATTATTATGGTACATTGTTGTGTTACACCAAGAGTGTTGTGTTATTTTTGGTAATTTTGCATGAAATAGAATGCATCCTTCATTCTTACAGTACATTGTTTTGTTACAGCAAGATTGTTGTGTTGATAATGGTGCTTCAAATGCAATGCATCCTTCATTATAATAGTGGATAAGGTGTTACAGCAAGATTGTTGTGTTATTGTTGATACTGTTGCATGAAATACATTGCGTAATTCATTATAATTGTACATTGTAGTGACACATGAACATTGTTTGTTTACTGTTGATAACAATTCATGAAATGCATCTTTCATGAGGGAATCATATTGAAGTGTTACATTACGACTATTGTGTCATTTAAGATGTTACATTACATTAAGGTACACCAAAGTCACTCAGAATGGGTCGCGTTTATTGATGACAGTATTAAATAAGGGATGTCAAAGTCTCTTTCAATACGACATTTCGGTACAAATCATAGTCCATTGATAACCCCTGTCAACGCTGTCTTCATTGATACCACAGCCACTAAATGCTACCTGATAATATGAATGTGTATCATGTCACTGTCATAGCGATGTATGGTGTCATGTATATTGTGTCACTATTTTGGCTGTATTATGTCATACTACAGAAATATTACCATTTTACTGATCATGTTTCTTGAGTTACATTACACATATGATGTATTATTCTACATCAAAGAACGTGAATGTATTAAAGAGTGGCGCATTATGTTTCTTGGATCTAGCTAACGCAAGGGCATCAAAATATGCAACACTATGTCCTTCTTTAGAAAAGTGCATTGCACTGTGTCATAAAATCCTGAATGTATCTTTGTACACTATATTCTGTTCATATCATGTGTAGTGTGTCCTTCACTATTTAAGTGATTATATTGTGTCATAACAAATGTTTTGAAACCTTTGATAACAAAATGCACTATCTTTTTGCATAAAGTACAGTGTGTTCCTCGAAATATAGGAGTGATAATATAATGTTACAGCAAGAGTATTGTGTCCCATAATTGCACTATATTTCTCCATTGAGTGTTACAGGAGACTTTCTGCATTTGGTATTGATTTGAAACAATAACATACGCGCGTCACTAACCACATTGTAGAAAATACTTTGGTATTGAAACATACTGAAAGGTTTTTGTCTCGATTTCTATCCTATTATAGAGAAGTAATGATTAGTAACTACTGGTTGATGGTCCGAGGAGCTGCTTATGGTTCGTATCAGAATCCGTTTGACCTATCAAACATTTCTATTTGTCATCAAACTATAGCTTTATCAGCTTTTCACTATAACTTCATACATGAATAACTATTGCATTATGTTTAATGTTACATGCTTGATGGATGGACAATGGAATGCATATAAACCGCGATGAAAATTAATGAGTGTAGACATAAGCCGAATTTATCAGTGTTGTGCATAATGATGTAGAATTTGAAACTCTTTCCCATGGTCTATTTTATATGCAATTAAGAAAGGTTGCTTGGCATGCTTCAGTATGTCCAAGCCCAATTACTGAGCCGAGGCTGCACACATTGCTTTAGCTGCCGAGAGTTCCACTTGATGCAGATATACGGTGCCAGGTCTCCACACTGCAGCGTCGAGTGTCCATATTTCCACAACACTGCACTAGATGAGAGACGCAGTTACAGTTGGTGTTGTATACATTTAATCATCAGGGAAATACGCCGTACATGGCCGATATCAGAAAAAAATGAGATCGGGATTACCACTTCATGTTTTGTCACACGAAGTTTTCTCGTCATTAGAACTGATACAATCAAACTAACACATTAGCTTTACTGAGCACGACTCGGCTGTGAGAGTTTCTATCGTTCAAACTGACGCATAACAGGCGAACTGCCATCTCCGATAAAGCTTTGCCTCGCTCTCGTGGCTTTCATATCAGTTCCCTCATAAAGCCGCGAGAGTAGGTACATGGAAATCAAATCTGTACCTGGAACCAATAGGCCTCCCCATTCACGGACACATTTGTATATTGAAAAAGGCCATCGAGACATAAGCGATCTGCAATGTAACAAAAGCTAAACAAAGAGGCGAGAGATTGGGTAACTGAATATAGCTAACTATTGGCGATGGTAGAGGTAGAGTTGGGAGGCCGGGCTGGCGGGCGGGGAGGGGAGGTGGTGGCGGTGGGGAGTAAGTGATCAATACGCATATCGCCACACAGCCAGGTGTAGCACCTTCTCGTTGCCGGCAATGAACTGCTTTAAACGAATCCCATGGGACTGCCTCAAAGAAATTAATAACGGAGAGACTAAATTTGTTTTATTTTCAACGAGGAAACACATAAAACGCATCTTAGAGCAAAATCACATAATCAATAATCAGAGTAACTGGAGTAGGTTGTAGTCTAGTCATAGTTGTCGAAAGTAAAATTGTATGTTAATGTGAAACAATATGTTTCAGCTCAGTCGTTATGAATCATTCGCAGCCTCAGCTGGTCACCACACGACCCCGCCAGATGTTAAAGTGCACACACCAGGGAATACTTTAAAAGGTAGCAGTATGAACGCATAGCAGTTCTTACCTTGACTGAGTAGCACGTGGTCGCAGTGTAGCTCCTGTTTGAGACAACCGTCATGTCCCTGGTGCTGACGACAACATGCCATCAGCCGGACTCTCCAACTCTCACCCTGTTGGCGTCTTGTCTTTCTAGGCTGCTCACACCACTGCTTTTAGCTCATGTATCCCAGGTACAAAGATTCCAAGTTGTCAGCGAAGTTTTCCAGTCATAAGTATCGGTTGGCAGGCTGGCTGGCAAGCAGGCAGCGGGCGAGTCACCTCGGATCTACCATGTACTGGCCTGTACACTCTCCTTGCCTCCTGCCACTTGGAGCATCGGAAGCCACTTGTGCGCAGTCTCAAACTGCTGCTTGTCCTGATAAGAACTTCATTAATTTTTTAAAACAGATAGAAACCTTCCACGGCAGTATAATAGCGATGAAATGACCTGTGAGGAGTAGCGATGGAGTCGCTCGTTCCTTCCACACACTCAGCACAGGCACCTGTCCCGCGCCGACTAGCTCACACCTCTATTTCCGACCGCCATGCAAGCGGAGGGTTACAGCCTTACGGTGCTAGATCGTTGAATTCGGCTGATCTGAGGGCTTGTTTGCTAATTAATCACGTAATTTGGGAATATCTGATACACTGCAGGCGGTGGTAGTGGCGTTAATCGACCTGGCGTACACGTCCGTCCACTGTGCACTCCCTCTCAGAGTGTGCCTCGTCTCATGCAGAACTATATTCCTTGCACTGGAGCACACGTGTAGCGGGCAGGTAGCGGTAGGCCTCAATGCAGTGCTTCCAGACCACTCGGTAAATAGACGCACATGCAGACATTTACCACCCTACTTCAGCGCATATTGTAAAAACATTTTTGTTTCACGGAACAATATTTTGCCCGGTTCTGAAATGTGAACACTGGACACTTGCCTGATTGCCAGGCTAGGCATGCCTTCCTTTCCACCCTCACCTCTCGATGTAAGTAGCTATAGATAGGGCTAAGGGTGGGATGAATTAGAGTTTATATGCATACATACATCAATGGATCTGGTGGGAGTGTAGGTCCATGTATACGTACAGTGCTCTGTACACTGTACACACGTGCGACATTGATATTGATGAAGGATCCTGGCAGACAGGAATACACGAATCATTTTTTTCAGAAACATGACATTAACTAGACGTATATTCATAATATTTCTACGGATCTTAAATGTTAATTAACAAATCGGTCACTTATCATCCAAAGAAATATAAGATGACATTATCAACTGTTGTACAAATGTTCCCGAGACGCCTGTTACCATATACAGTGGAAGCATAGCTTCCTCACAAAATGTTTTTCTTTTGTATGTGGCAGAGATAGAAATATGAACCCTCCTAAGGCACTGGCGTTTTTAATATACAAACCAGGGCGGGTGAAGACTGATTGTCACCAACGTGGCTTTCATGTTGGCGTTGCCCAAGGATTGAGTTTCTTGATTTCCTCGTAGCATGTCTGAACCCCGAGTTAGTTGAATAAACAACACTTTAAGGGAGAACGAATGAATGTGGTCATTGCTTAATGATTGAGTCTAGAAGATACAGAAGATGACCCCTTATGCACACTGTAACGTCGACAGGACATGGAATCGGGAGCAAAGAAACCAACGGTGCTGTGTGAGCATAGAACGTGATGAACAATGTAATTCATGTCCAGATTTGTCCCAGTTTTGTTTAAGCCGGATACATTGTATTCTTATTAAACAGATATGACCTAGGTTTCCACAAGTCTTGTACACACCTTGGCACACCTAGTCTGCTGACAGTTGGGTATTTTTTTATTCTCCACAACATAGGTGATGACCCCCAGTGGTTGACACAAGTCTGATAATGTGTAGGTGTAATATTTGATTCAGTTCAACATAGGTGATGACCGCCAGTGGTTGACACACAAGTCTGATAATGTGTTGGTGTAATATTTGATTCAGTTCAATATAGGTGATGACTGCCAGTGGTTGACACAAGTCTGATAATGTGTTGGTGTAATATTTGATTCAGTTCAACATAGGTGATGACCGCCAGTGGTTGACACACAAGTCTGATAATGTGTTGGTGTAATATTTGATTCAGTTCAATATAGGTGATGAACCCCAGTGGTTGACACAAGTCTGATAATGTTTTGGTGTAATATTTGATTCAGTTCAATATAGGTGATGACCGGAAGTGGTTGACACAAGTCTGATAATGTGTTGGTGTAATATTTGATTCAGTTCAACATAGGTGATGACCGCCAGTGGTTGACACACAAGTCTGATAATGTGTTGGTGTAATATTTGATTCAGTTCAATATAGGTGATGAACCCCAGTGGTTGACACAAGTCTGATAATGTTTTGGTGTAATATTTGATTCAGTTCAATATAGGTGATGACCGGAAGTGGATGACACAAGTGGTGACAATTTCCTACATACATATATGGAGAACAAGATGTACTGGCAAGGGTGGGTTTTTTTCAGATATGTAGACGTGGCTGTACTGGCAAGGTATTTTACTTTGCTTTTTGCAAGAAAAGAACCAAATTCAATTATATCAAAACATTTAAGTTTTCATTTTTTTACACCAATATCCTACATGACAAATTTAAAGGAAAACTTCATTCCTTGATACACTGGGCTTTTGTTACAAGACGTGGTGACCATAGATATAGTAACATATCTATTTTCATAGTTTGAGGACAGTTTGTCAAAAATAAATGCAAATGCCATCTGCAGGTTACTGAGAAAACCATATATAAAATGCTGGACGACATCAGTGGTAGCATCTACGTACAATTTGGGGTACGGCATTTAGGCAAGAAGCAGGCCCAATGAGGAATAATTGTGACCTCCTTTTGATGATCAGATTCTTGATGAGTATGAATTCCTAACAATTCTGCGCTGGCTGGAAAAGTAAAAAAAGATAATTTGGCCAGGACGTTTTACTTAAGCTTCAGGTATAGCGATGATCTGATATCGTTCAATAATGGTCAAATACCCAATCCCATCAACTGATTTAACCACCAGTCCCCAGACCCACAAAGCAATCTTAGCGCTACGACTGTCGTCAGTCTGTGTTAAGCTAGTGAAGTTACGTTCACCCAATTAGTGTTAAGATCTCTTTGTGGAACGGGGCCCTGAGCTAGAAATAAAACAGACCGGTGAAACCGCCTCTTCTGTTTCATTTATAGATGTATGCAGAACGACTGAGAGTGACTAAAACACTATTTACCAGATAAGAGCCATGACTTATATCGTGCAATATTCAAGCACTTCAACAATTATTTCACAAAGATTTCAAAGAGCTTTCTTAAAGAATTATTGTTGACATGTGGATAAGATTTCCAAATTGGACGCATCGTTGACTAAACTGATGTCCTATGCAATTTCCTATTTGATTTGTACCATATGTTCCATGTTTTGTCTGGTGAACGATTGACTTGCACTTGCATGTGTTTGTGGCGGATGCCACCGGTATGCCAGGATATGCTCACCTTTTCACGAACAACTGCATCATCACTATTGGATAATGATCCATAAATAAAGCGACAAAACCCTTTCCATATCCAATAAAAATTTCTGCATAAAGCAGAGTCGATTGTACAATTCCGACTATATCATGAGCATGTGTTAAACACATGCTCATGATATAGTCGGAGTCGTACAGAGGATCTGCCTTTAGTAGAGATTTCATACGATTATGGAAATGTTTCTTGTCTTTTGTATGTATGAATATGGAAATAGTTTTGTAGCTTTCATTGTTTATACATATATGTAGTGTGGGACGTTCCGACAACATGTTACTAAAAATCAGTGGCGTGAGATGGAGGTGTAGCCAAGACGTCGGACAAAAAATTGAAAATACTCAGAAATAGTGGAAGGCTATTATATCACAATCTTGTTCATAATGAAATTTCTGCAGTGGGTGTCGTTGTTCCACACACAGATTAGCTACACATGTGTACGGCTGAATACACAGTTTGTATAGGCTGAGATGCCTAATTAAATCGCGTTCTTCATTACAGTCTTCTGGCCTATGGCAGTGGGGACAGTTTGCATGTACTGCGCAATAACGCTTAACTTGAAACATTACTATTTCATTACACGACGGACCGAGTGGACGTAAGTAGATCACATGGGCGTATTTGTCAATTAAGCATACACTGGACTTATACACAACCGGTGGTGTCTTCTAAATGCGGTTAAATTTCACAGCTGAAATTGAACAACAGTAAAATCCCATGGAGGTGATGTTTGAGAAAAGTCAGCCTATATTGGAGAAATAATTTGATATGGGTTGTATTTGTATGGTTCTACACGTTTCAGTGGTACTTCTTTCCTTGATCATTCACCTTGAGACGTTCTGTACAGCAATACAGAAGTAAAAATCCATATCATCTTGTTTCTATGAACTTCAAACATCTGAAAGCTACTCAACGATCTCGGGTTTGATATTGCAAAGATGACGTTTTGAACATAAAATTACGAGCTCAATGCACTGACTTCCGTGTAATAACACTGAAACCCCCGTGTAATAATTGGAGTTCACATGATGTTATACATCGTAGTTCCTGCATAAAATCATCCACACTACTACAGAACGTCTGTTGATTGTAATGTTGATACAGAATGTTGACGTAGTGACGACACTCTGCTGGTACCTAGTTTAGATATTGTAATGCCACAATGAAATGCCGCTACCACACGTAGACGTTGTAGTGCCAGATTACGATATTGATACCGAATGAAGACGTTGAAATGCCACAATGAAATACCGCTACCAAACGTAGACGTTGTAGTTCCAGATTACGATATTGATACCGAATGTAGACGTTGAAATGCCACAAGGAAATACCGCTACCAAACGTAGACGTTGTAGCGCCAGATTACAATATTGATACCGAATGAAGACGTTGAAATGCCACAGTGAAATGCCCCTACCAAACGCAGACGTTGTAGCGCCAGATTACAACATTGATACCGAATGTAGACGTTGTGACTCCATAATGTAATTCAGAAACTTAATGTATGCAAGGTAACGCCATAATGTTACAGTCATATCGAACGTAAACGTTGTAATGTCACAATATATTACTGATACCAATTGTAGATGTTGGGACCACACAATGTGTCACTGGTACCAAATGTAAATGTTTTTGACGCCACAATGTATTACTGATACCAAATGTAAATGTCGGGAAGCCACAATGTATTACTGATACCAAATGTAAACGTTGGGACGCCACAATTGTATTACTGATACCAAATGTAAATGTTGGGACGCCACAATGTATTACTGATACCAAATGTAAATGTCGGGAAGCCACAATGCATTACTGATACCAAATGTAAACGTTGGGACGCCATAATTGTATTACTGATACCAAATGTAAATATTGGGACTCCACAATGCATTACTGATACCAAATGTAAATGTTGGGAAGCCACAATGCATTACTGATACCAAATGTAAACGTTGGGACGCCACAATGTATTACTGATACCAAATGAAAATGTTGGGAAGCCACAATGCATTACTGATACCAAATGTAAATGCTGGGACTCCACAATGTCTTATTGATACCAAATGTAGATGTAGTAGCGCCACAGTTCAATAATGATACCGAATTCCCAAATGCATGTGTTTTATGTTCACAATATCTGCTGATACCAACACTTGATCAGTGTATCCCCAACAATGTATCAGTGTATCCCCAACACTGTATCATTGTATCCCCAACACTGTATCA